TAGACCATTCCAAAATTGATACTTCCTCCTCGCTGACATAACAATATCCCGTGAGAATTACGTCCTACACAATCAACATCACAAACCAGCTGGCTCAACTATAGGACACACTTTCTTGGCCTTGTCAAACATAAACAACAGCAACTTGATAAAAAAAAATTATTATCAATTGTCATTGTTTAGTCTAATTCCACTGTCAGGATTTTATATTGAGCCTATTGTGTAATTGTCTGTGCTACAGTACCTAGTATATTATAAATTCATTTCAATCTTAATATACTGTATGTGTTTGCATCCAAGTAAACAAATTTTGTAATTATACATTTGTTAAAATTGTTGATGACAATCAATATTTTCTGATTTTGAATTTTTTCATGATCGCTCATTATGCCTGGTATATGGAACTGGTGCTTTTACGACATTGCAGACAGGCCTTTTGACTGGGAGCGGGGCTTGTCTTTTTGCGATGAAAATGAGCTTAGGCTAAGGGCCGGGGAAGCTGAAAAAGGAGCATTTTGAGGTGGATTTCATAATTCAGAATTCTATATTAAATCTGCATTAATTTGGGTGTTGGTAGGGAACTGAAAAAGTAATGACTTTTTCATTACATCTGTAGGCCTCCTTAACATTGCTGTTCATGTATCTATCTTCAATAACTGGAAGAAACTGATAAATTCCAACAAATTTTGAATCACATTAAAAATCAATGGATAGAAGAGCTGGCAAATGAAATGCAATGCATAGAATTTCGCGATGATTGGGAATGATTTTAGTGTTAATAATAAATTCTTAAAATTGGACCTTTTTAAAAATAGTTTGGGGATTTGCCCCCTCTGCCTACAGGCCTGCATCGTCAAAATACCTGTATGGAGCCCAATTTTCAGATAGTCAAAGATTCTCAAACTATGAATGCCCATTTTCACAAACTTCCCCTTTTTTAAAAGTAGCCACCCCCACACTACAAAACATTTTCCATTTCAATGTGGAAACATTTGGCACAGTACGCCATGTCTCTTGTTCATGATCAGTCTGAGTCATGCATGCACTATTGCAGAATTACGATTTTCAAGTAGAACATCATAAGACGATGTTACAAATTTCAACAACAGCACATGAAATTATCTTTGCACACAAAACGTGCATCTTTATCGCTCAGCTACATTTCACCTGATATGAAATGTTCACAATATATGAATCAATACATTCTAATTAGATTTTTTGGTACAGAATGTTAAAATTGACATTTTATTTGAATCAATATACATGTTTTTGCCAAATGTTTTCATAAAGGTAAAGGTAGAATAACCCATAACTCGCAGCGTCACCGTGCTGAATTGCGTATGGGCGTGGTCCGTGACTACCTAGCAGCCGTAAAGAGGCGCTTCTTGGTAGATACATGTTCACATCATTCCACAACGACAGGGGCTGAAATGAACCATAACATCGGGGTAACCCGCTACTCTTTCGAAAGATGCAATGGGTTCTTTAAAGTGCACACGAGCCAGATGTATACACTGGACCCCCATTTTAAGTCGTTATCCGAGGAGACTTGGTTCTACCAACCGTAACATGGGCGAGGAGCGACTGGAGCCAGTGCCGATGTTAAGGCTGCAGCTAGCGGCGCCCCTGCCTTTCCGCTTGGCCATTCGACTCGCTCAGCCATTCATAAGCAAATTTCATAATTAAATCTTCTCAAAAAATGGCATGATGTGTTTTTATTATGTACTCTTAAATATGCCAATACATCAAACCAAAGGCTGGAACAACGTTTTAGGGAGAGTCCTTACCTAAACAAATTTTGGTCAGTCAGACTTAGAAAATGCAACTATAATACCTCCTTTTGAATATTTACTTTATATACAAGAAATCTAAAATTCATTCTTTTAGATTATATGAAATCATTTGTGAACACAGAATCAAAGGACTAAGCATTAAAAATGAGCGAGGAAAGGAAAAAAGGTTGTAATGGACACTCAACACAGTTGCTGAATATATCAAACACATTTAAAACAAAGAGATTTGAATGTATATTGACCCTATTTTAGTGACTACTAATTTATCTGAAGCACTTCCCATCACCTTCACTGATTGACAAGGCATTATGGGTGCCTACTACAATTGCGTCCTTTTTCCTTAATAAACAATTGAGAGGCTGGTGACTAAGGTAAGTTGAATTACCATCAGTGTGTGCGTAATGCAGCCACACCTTAGCACAGTATACCGCTAGGAGGATATTCAGCAGGAAGACAATGATTAAAGGATACATCAAATTAGATGCATCTTTTGTTTACATGTGAGAAATTGAAATCAATATCTTAGCATTAAGTTCATTCTTTAAATTATAACTAATCAGATATTATTATTATTATTTAATTATTATGAAATAAATAACTTATATGCATAAATATTACTATTACTGAATAGCAAAATTATTACATACATACATTAACTCCAGTACTTATATAATATACTGAAGGAATTAATGAGTACTTATTCTCAACAATAAAACATGATAGTCGAAATTTGGATCCAGGTACTTAAACAATTGGTTAAATAGATGTAAAAATTTAAAATAAATTTTAGTATTATTAAAGACATCAAACTTACAATATAAAAAATATATAAAGCCAAAAACAAAGAGTAATACTAATGTATACGATCACAGCGCTTTTCGCTTTTTGTACAGTAGCAGATTTTTTCTAGGAACATTATTCTAGCAGAGCAACTGGAAGCAAGCTTCCTTTATCATGTAGTAAACAGCAATGAGACTGAATTAAATTAAATTCATTGCAGTGTATTAAAATAAAATTATGCATGTACTACCACTACCACTCAATACAAGCGGATGCTACATCGAGCGAATGCTAGTTTGAGCAGATGATATGCCAGTTTAATTACTGCACTGTTTAACCAAGTTTTTGAAAGGTTTTCGCTATTTTTTATTAATTATTCAATGTTTGAATTAGTTTTGGCAAATCTGACCACTCTATGGCTGCTAAAAACCACTATATTCATGGTTTTCAATGTGTTCAATCTGAGGTTTTGTAGTAAAAAAAAGCAAATTAGATGATTGTAATTGTAACTGTCACTGATTTTTAACTGTATTGTAACTGCATTAGTAAATGCATATTTGTAATATAGATAATTAAATGGGTGGGGGGAGGCGGGGCTGGCTCACAAAATAAGGTGATATGAGTTGATTTCTCCCCTGGTTACGCCACTTCCAATTATATGTAAGAAAAAACACTATCAGCAGAAAAAGGCATAAACAAATAAGAAGTTATAAGAAGAAAACAGCTAAGTTATAGCAAATTTGAATTCAAAGAGTGCAAAAAACTTTTAATGGTTGGTCGAAATAGGAAATTCCCACAGGTTAATGTTTGCAAGACTAGATCCTTTTTCACTCTTAGTGGCATCTGCTCAAACTAGCATTCGCTCAAAGTGGTATCACTTCGTACTGACTGGTTCCCTACTAAAACAATAGATGATGTCATGTTTATAGATAAGATTTTTAATTTTTAGTTAGAGCATGAAATGTGATTGGTTTATATTGGCATTATTTATTGTTTTAATCCTATTAAGGTAATACTCATTTGCCCATACCATAACCAATTTGGGATACAGTCTGATACATATACTTTTAAGATACTGGAAACAAAATGTGAATGGGTATGTGATCAGTTTCAATATTATTAGACTGAGCATTGTATGCAACAACTGGTTGGTGAATTGAAGTGTAAAATGGACAAGGCCTCTAACAATAGAAGCAGTATACAATACAAAAACTACTAAAACAACATCTCATCAATAGATAATTACCCACATTGTATAAACGTTTATAAACTAAAACTAGGTTGTAACCAATTTTCGACTACAAGAAAAAGGGTTTCTAAATGTGTGGTCGTTGTTGCGATGACATCATTTTATCCCAGAACGCAGTTCGTACGGCGGAAAAAATTTCGAGGCATATATTGAAATTGGCGCATTCACTTATCTATTCTGGATATGTTATGATATGATACGATACGATTTATTGGGTTCATTTTCAGATCAGTGGCACACATCACTTTGGTGGTGCACCTAAGAACAATATAAAATATAAACAAAGGAAAGCAAAAGACAGTTCAAAAACAACAAACGGGTAAATAGCATAACAAAAACAAAACCAAGTAATTTACAGTAACGTTTTACCCTTATTTGTATTTTACCCCCTTTAAAAAATTCTGGATTCACCCCTGACAATTACCATGAACTTACATTGTAGAAATAAAAACCTGTACCTTAATTAGCTTTTGATGTATAAGCATACAGAACTTTTTATTCAAATATCTTTAATTGTCATGTTTTAAAAATAGGCCCTGAATGCTTTACCTCTAACAAACAGTCTATGATTTTGTTTGCTGTATCTTAAACATAGTTAAACCTATTCTATATTTAAAATTATAGTTTTTGTTGGAATTCCCAAATGAAATAGGATCAAGAGACAATCCTCTACTTTTCTTTCCTATAATGTTTTAAGGTAATTTTTCATCAGTTCCAATGTCCAAGAAAAGAAAACCATGCCCATCAGTTAAACTACTCAGTTTTTTGAGTTAGAAAATATTAAAAATAAACATGCATCATACCATATTTATGTTTTATTTATTTTTTTTTATTATTATTCTTAGTGGACATAGGACACACAATATCCCTTGTGAAAGATGGTGCCATAACTTTAGTAACACAAGGAAGGCAGTGATAGGGACATCAATGCTTGTTGATGAAGAGTGCCTCTGACTAATTTAGCTGATAATGATTGACACTGATGACTGATGATGATGTCAATGATGAATGATTGATGATGATGATGGTGATGATGATATTGTTTGATAATGATGACAAATGTGATGATCACTTTTCCAACTAGACATACAGTTTTTTGGGACCACAAAATCATCACAGTAATTCTTATATAATACATGTTAATGATGAAATTACATTATGTATTTGGAAAAACTCACCTAACAGCCACAGATACTGCACTTTCGTCATCTGCCATATCTGACTTTGTAGTAATACTCTCTAGGTTAGGCCTTACTTCTTTGCATCAATCAAGTTCAATACTGAATCCTCCTAGAGAAATAGGCAAAATTGGTGTTTTATCAAACTTGCATACAGTACAGCATTAGGCCTAGCCCCTAGGCTATATTTTATTGTTATTTCAGAATCAGTTCACTATAGGCTGGAACTAGTCATTGGCTGTAAATGGTTACAGAATATTTTCTGTTATGATAGTTTAGTAGCAGGTGGTTGCATGCAAAATCCATCCACCAGGTGTTGTTCACCACTCAGCTCAAATGTAGGCCTAGCCTAGAGGCATAGGCTAGGCCTACCACCACCCTTCACCTGTCCTGGCTGACTTCCAAGCCACATATTGATGATAATGAAATGGATTCAAAACAATTATTAAATGTTACAGAATCGTTCTATATAACTTCAATGTTTTGGCCGAAAAAAAACTACGTAAAAACTCACTGAGACCAAACTAGGCCCAGGGCCTAAATAATCAGACTTCGCAAAAGAAACCACAGCAGTCAGCTGAAGGCCAACAACAGTGTTGTTGTTTGTACAGCTCACTGCAAGTAGGCTCACCAGTGGCTAGCTACGCACGATGCCTTACATTTTTACCACCACCACTCGCTAGCCAAGTCAGTCAGTGTCAACGTGTAGGCATTCCCACTTCTAAATATATTTAACGGTTAAATCAAATATTACAAATGTAACCTACTTTCTGCATAAATCATACACTGTATTTGGAGTACAAAAGCCCATCCTACATGGTGGTTACACGAAAAGCTTGCAGCGATAGAACTTCGTCGCCTGTCATTTCTCGGCAGCCACTTTTCCGCTTACAATGTAATAAATCTTTCACCGTGGAATCGTCGCGCACAAGAGGTGGTTTATTATGGAACGCCCTCTCATAATTCGTCGTAGCATTTGTATTCAGCTCATTTAGCATATGCCGGTTTTCCACTAGGCGAATTTATTCGCGCGAATCGAAAGCGTCGGTTCATGCACATGCGCATTCACATTCCTATCGGAGTTTTTGCGAAGAGAAAAAATGCGCAACCAATCAGAGCTCTGGAAGCGAACCGACGACGCTTTGATTCGCGCGAATTAATTCGCCTAGTGGAAAACCTCCACTTGGCGAATTTATTCGCGCGAATCAAAGCGTCGGTTCGCTTCCTGAGCTGTGATTAGTAGACCAATTTATACGCTTTTACATATGCATGAAATGTTATGACCAAATTATAGTGCAATCATGGATATATAAGTAGGCCTAATTAGTAGAGCTCCGCATAGTACACTATAGGAAAATTATTATACGAAGGTTAGATTTAATGCTTGAAAACATTTTTGAATGCATTAAATCTAACCTAAATAATAATTTTCCGCTAGTGTACGATTCATGCTCTACAAATTGCTTTATAAGTCAGTCAATAGTTTTTATACAGTCCGAGAGAGCCGCGGCGTTGGAGATCAATTTTGACGGTTATTCAATTTCAACACAGCGTGACGTCCCTGATTCTAGACGCCCTCACACGGCAGAAAGGCTTTTAACTTTCGCGCGTTTTCATTAGCATAAAGTGTATGCTCTTCCATTAGCTGACAGCTGTTGAATAAACATTGGAAAAAGGGAAAGGTACCCAAATATGGTAAAATCAGTTCCTTATATAGCCAAGAATCCTTACCGGTACGTCATTGAATTTTCTGATTATTTTTTTAAGAGTTGCGCGTTTCAACGTTTTTGCCAAGGTTGTGTGACAGCCGTCGAATCGATACAATAGGCCTTTTTCACGAATCGGTAGACATCTTGAAGAGATGACAAACATTGCGAATCAGTGGTGCGTAACCAACAGAAATAAGATAAGCTTTTGGGCTGCTTTTCTGACATAATAAATATAGCAAAACAAATAAAAAATTGTACTTTGTAAGAAAATTAAGGAAGTTAAGAGTGGATAAAACCATTCTTAAATTATTTTACCAAACTGTTGTACAGAGTACACTAGTTTTTGGCATAATATGTGCGTACGGTAGTTTCTCAATGACGAACAGAAAGAAATTTGAAAAAATCAAAAAAGCAGCTCAAAAATGCATTGGCATGGAATTAGAACCCATAGTAAACATATACAATAAAATGATTTTACAAAAAGTAGAAACTATAATGAAAGATGACACCCATCCACTTCACCATTGTTTCAGTTTTAGTCACTCAGGTTTTAGATTATATGTTCCACGTATTCGACACAACAGATACAGGGACTCATTTGTAATTAACGCAATACGTATCTTCAACCAAAATGCCAAACGAAAATGAGTGATTTTAATTAGCTTGCAATGCGAATTTTACATTTTAAAATGTTTTAAATGAATCTGATTATTAATTATTTTAAATTGTTAGAAAACTTTCCAATTTTTAGTCACTGTTCTCCTTCTGGTGTATTTTAATGTTTTTACAATGTTTTCTTGATGTTTCATGTTCTTTGCCAGTGGAAAAAGAATTTCCATTTTACCTGTGTTTTAATGGACAAATAAAGTTTGATTTGATTTGATTTGATTTGATTTGAATAAAGAATATCGTATCGTATCGTATCGTATCGTATCGAATAATGTTATTTTAAAAATCATAACTCCATATAACGGGGCGTCGTATCCAAAAAATGTTTCCAGCAAAATGTTCTTAAAAGACTAGTCTACAAAGTACACCACTATATGATTGAAAAAATAAATTAGACAGCGACGTTCTCTCAGAAGTTGTTCTGTAGACGTTTATCTGTTGATGTTTATCTGTTGATGACCTTTTGACCTCCTGAATTCTGCAATGAAATTTTCGAGTCGATTCAGCCGAGACGGCCCGAGTGGAGTTTCATGTAAATGTTTCGTACGGGAAAAAAAATCGCGGCCGGATGCACTCTAGTGATAAAGTTTTCCTCCATTAGTGGAAAAGAAGGGCGCCGTGTGCGTCTGGATATACTTAGCAACAGAAGGGCACGAAGTATAGAAAACTTGCATGGGTAAAAAGAAGGGCGCCGCCTACGTCCGGCACGATTTCCACCTCATTTTTACTATGCGAGTGCTCTATCTTGTGTTTCTAGTAGCCTATCTTTGATAATACCAAAGATAATAAATAGCAGAAGATAGAGCAGCTTCCCAATCTATTAAACAATATAGCGGAACATCCGTTCAAAATGCATTGTGGGTACATGGAGAGCAATTTTACCTCATCCGCGCGGCGGCGCAATATAGCAATAATAAAGGCGCTGTTCTGGTTCGTTTGTTTCCTGTAGTTTCTCGACTTAGTAAAATCATAGAGGTATTATGAATAATAATACCTCCATGGTAAAATGTTCAAATTTTACCTCATCCGCAGGAGGGTGAATGTTCCATCAATTTTAATGCAAATACGCGGAGCAGTTCATTCTTCTGCTATTTAAGTTCTTTGATAATACTGTACCTATATGATCGAGTCGAGTCAGCCGTGGAGCAGTAAGTGCCCGGCTTACAAAGAAAATGTAACTTCGTTTTTCTTAATAAAAGTTTGTCGGTATTCGGTGGCCTCGAGTCCCTTCGTAGCCTTATGCTAAATGCTCCAACAACCCTAACGACAGTGAATGTATAACCACCTTAAATCATGAGATGCAACAAATTCACTTCCATATTTTGAATTGCTTAATTACAGTATTTAAGTAAGTTATTATAACTCACGATAATAAATTTAAATAACAATTTTCCAATCGATTAATGTTTACTATTTTTAATTGATATTAATTATTTATTTATTCATAATTCTTGTAGGCCTAATAATTGTTAATTAATGTTATCATTTTTAAAACGTTTTACCGTATTTAGATAATTTTAAAACTTTTATTACAATGCACTTTATTCAATGTACATTTTTATTCAAAATTGTTCTCAATCTGTTTTAATTTTTACTAAATTTATAATTTTCCGTGATTTGTATGTTGATTTGCTGACATTTGAATATACCCTTGAATTTTAATGAATAAAATAGTTTAAGTCTAAATAGAAGGACTATTGTTATCTGACTTATGAGTAGTGGTGGCGAAGGAGGGGGAGGGCATTTTCCCCTCCCACGTCGTTTGACAAAAATAGTAATTTGCCTATCTAAATAAAAAATTTCTGGAGCCACCTCAGTATGTGCAAAATATAAGTATTATTATTTTATGTTCTGTGTGTATCTTTTAAACGCTAAAACCATAAATATGGCTTTGCCTGAAATTAAATTTAAACAAATGTTTTTTAATAAAGCGTAAAAAAGTGAACAAATTTGTTTGTCAAAATGATTCTGGTGTTGAAAATAAATTGTTTGTAAGAATTTTTTGAAAGTTGAAAATATGAATCGAAGTAGAGTTTATCTACCACAGAAGCGATCCAGAAAGGTACCCGACTTTTGAGTCTGAAAATCAAGTTACCCTGTGCGGTTGGACCATTAGGTCCTTTGCAGGATGTACCTACGTAAACGTAAAGTATCAGGCCCGTAGCCACAGGGGCGGAACCAGAGATGTCCAAAAGGTGGGGCCGAAAGGGGGACCGAAATTTGGGCCGATCGAGACAACAATATCGTAGGGGGTCCGGGGGCATGCCCCCGTGAAATTTTTGTGTTTTAGACGCCCGAAAATAACATTTGAGGCGTTGTGGGCTATCATTTCTTTCTTTTTTTTTACCTTCCAGGGCTCGGGGGGGGGGGGGGGGGGGGGGGGGGCGGGGGCTCCCCCCCCCCCAAATCCGCCCCTGAGCCAGGGGGTGTTATGGTTCGGGCAACCTCCCCCCACCCTTTATAGCAAATCCCCTCCCCCGGATTTCCCGAACGAGTCCTCCATCCCAACTACTGCAGACCCACCCAGACTCAGATGGCATGTTTTGCTGCATACCTTTTTCAAACATATCTGCTGTTATATAGCATTATTTTACGGAGCCCCTAAAGGGACATGGTTAAAGAAAATATTAAAATATTTCGAGGGAACGAAATACCTCGAAATATTATTTCGTTTCCTCGAAATATTATTTCGTTCCCTCGAAATATTATTTCGTTCCCTCGAAATATTATTTTGTTCCCTCGAAATATTATTTCGTTCCCTCGAAATAATACTTCGTTCCCTCGAAATACTATTTCGTTCCCTCGAAATAATATTTCGTATATGATACGCTCACAGTGCCTTCGGTGTCGGCTGTTCGTCATAGGTGGTGCAAGGATTTGCCCAACGGTGGGGCCGAGGTCCCCGGCTGGAGGTCCATGCCCAAGATGAAAGCAAAGTGGGTGTGGTCGAGCTTCGATTAAATGGTTTCAACAGTTTATAAATTTTGACAATTTAAGGGTTTCAAAGCTTTATGTAATCGATATTAGAGTCTGCTAATATGTAGAAAATACATAGAATTTTTGTTTCTCTCTGACGAATTGTGCTTTTTCTCCTTGACGGAGTTATATAAAGCCCCTAATTTCTTCACACTCATTAGCCTATATACCGATGTTCTGTAATGATTCAGGAGATAAAATTTGTGTTTATTACTCAAACAAAGTTTCAAAATCTGAGTGTCCTCGTCCCCTAAAGTTGTCCACTTGGTAGGGATAATATTTCGAGGGAACGAAATATTATTTCGAGGGAACGAAATAATATATCGAGGGAACGAAATGATTTCGTTCCCTCGAAATAATATTTCGTTCGAACGAAAATAATATTTCGTTCGAACGAAATAATAGCGAGTTTTAGATCTGCGACGACGAGTTACTTGGAACGGTATGACGTTAATGTAAGGCATATGCGCATGCGTAATTATATTTATAATGCTTGGGTTTCGTCGAGTTCATTCGTAGAGGACGTGAAATCAGCCGGGAATCCGTCGTCACAGACATACACTTCTGACCAATCACAGTACGTCAATTGGCAGTCGATCATGTCAACACCAGGTCAACACTAGATTTGTTTTCAAAGCTCGCGAAGATCTTGCTGGGCTTTATACGCCTTTTTCACGAATCGGTAGACATGTTGAAGTGATGACAAACATTGCGAATCAGCGGTGCGTAACCAACAGAAATAAGATAAGCTTTTGGGCTGATTTTCTGACATCATGTTATTTAAAAAATCATAACTCCATAACGGGGCGTCGTATC